TGCACCTTGCGCTGGAAGCCCTTGGAGCACAGCTCACAGCTGAAGGGCTTGAAGCCCGTGTGCTTGCGGCTGTGCGTGATGAGGTTGGAGCTCTGGCTGAAGGCCTTCCCGCACACCTGGCACTTGGGGGGCTTTTCCCCTTCGCGGGGGACCTGGCACTTGTGTGGCTTCTCCCCTGCGGGTGGGCGGGACAGCAGGTGAGGGGTGGGCAGGGCGGGCTGCTTCCCTGCCTCCCCCTTCATCTCGTGAGCAGCCCACATTCATTTCAGGAGTCACTTAGAAACAGAGACAGCAGAGGCATAGCTGGACACCCTCCAGGCCTGGGCGGGCCGTGCGGCGCTCAGGCCCGGGCTGCCCACCTCGGCCACCACACATCACTGCCCGGGACAGGCCACACCGTGGAGGTGCTAGGTTGATGGCGAGGTGCCAGGAAGTGAGCACGTGAGCAAACGAGACCGCAGGGAGTAAAGGAACAGACAGTGGAGAGCGAGTGGGCAGTGACGGAGCAGCGCGTGAGTAAGCAGCCGAGGGGCCGACCTAGTGACCACGCGAGTGCACGCGCGAGTGAGTACACAGACGAGGGGTCACCCGCGAGGCCCACGGCTGCCCGCCCGGCTCGCCGGTGCAGCCCTTGTGCTCGCCCTCCTGCAGTCTGTCCTCACGCCCGAGCCCTCCGCCAGCACATGGCCGTCCCCATCCCCACCCCGAAGCTGGGGTCTCTCGCGGAAGCTGGGCATGGCCCCGGGCGCAGCCGGCCGGCTCACCGGTGTGGATGTAGGTGTGCTTCTTCATGTCCGACTTCTGGTGGAAGCGCTTGCCGCAGAACTGGCAGGGGTAGGGCCGTGTGTCCGAGTGGATGAGCAGGTGGGTGGACAGGGTGGACGAGCGCTTGAAGGCTTTGCCGCACATCCGGCACTCAAAGCTGCGCTCCTGCCGGAGGAAACGAGGTCCCGGGGGGTCAGGTGCAGGCGGGGCCTCGAGACCCGGGAGTGCCAAGCTGGGTGCAGGGCTGGACCTGGCCAGGATCCCCTGAGGAACAGGACACTCCGTTGGGGTGGCCTCAAGGAGCAGGACTCAGGGACTCCCACTGTCCTACCTCCCAGGTGGGACCAGTTGGGCCCTGCTGACCACCTGTGGGCTTTTCCTTGGAACCGTCACGGCTCCCCACGCAAAATAAACCGCAGTAAACGTCTGTTGACTGACAGGCTGATGGATCTGAGAGTTTTTAGGGGGTTTGCATCTTAGGACCCTTAACCCAGAGCATGTTCCTTGCGGCTGTTCTCAAATTATCGGAGCCCACCGCTGGCTTTTGCCTCTGAGCAGCCACCTGGCCACACGTGGGTCGTTTAACTCCCTGAGATCGGCGCCCGACCCATACTGGAATGGCAGCAGTGACAACCTCAGAGGGCCGTGGCACGCACAGACAGTCGCGAGCGTCCTCTGCCTTCCACCCGGTCGGTTCCATTTCCCAGACGTTAGTGACCTGTGCCCGTTTTCCCAGGTGCTGTCCTGGGGATGGGGCCTCGAGAAGGGGCCCTGCTCAGCCAGGGCGTGGTTGGCCGAGATGAGCATTTAAGCCTGACTCGGATTCTGAGCGCCCTGAGCCTCAGCTGCGGATGCCTGCCCTGACCGTGCCGCGCAGGCTGCTTCTGAGGCCCGGGCCTCTTCCAGTTGAATGTGAAGCCGACCTGGTCAACAGGGAGCCCCAGACCCAGGGAGCAGGTAGGGAGCACCCAACATGTGCACGCCGGGGCAGGGGAGGGACCAGCCGGGTCAGGAGTGGCTGTGGGGCCTGAGCGTGGCCGCTGCCCACCTGGGAGTGGACGTGTGTGTGCTGCTCCAGGCTCACAGCGTGGCCGAAGGTTTTGCCGCAGACGTCGCAGGCGAAGGGCCGGGTCCCGCTGTGGGTGCACTTCGAGCCCATGTGGTGTGGAGAATACCTGGGGGCAGGGGTGGAGTGTGAGGCCACTGTGGGTGCTGGGGAGGGAGGCAGGCCGGGGCCCCACGGCCAGCTTCAGCCAGGGAGGGCTGGTGTACAGGGGGAGGGCCACAAGCTTGCAGTTCCGCCATGCATTGGCTGTCTGTCCTGGATGTGTTTCTTTCCCTCTCTGGCTCAGTTTCTCATCTATAAAATGAGGGCTGAGGAGGAGGTTGCAGAAAGGCCTCTCTCTGACTCATCTAAAGGCTTAATAGCCTAGTTATCCAGGGCTAGGAGCCGGATAGAGCCAGGTTCGAACTCGGGTTCTGGTATCGCTGTGTGATCTTGGGCCCGTGTCCTACCCTCTCTTAATCTTAGTGCTTCCTCTGCCTCCCAGGACTCATGCATGCCAAGTGCTTGGTGCAGGGCCATGCACAGGGCAGGGGCCAGTGGACGGTGAAGCCGATGAACATTCCGGATCCTTGGTCCAGGCCCCAGATCTGCAGAGCAGGCCTGCTGTGCCTGCCTGACCCTGGTCGCTCACCTTGCTGCACTTGACGCAGTGGTATGCGTCCAGGCCTGGGGAGTAGCGGAGGCTGAAGTCCAGTGGGGGCTCAGTGCTGGGCACCAGAGGGCTGCCGTATAGCCTGACGGAGCGCTCCAGGAAGGAGGACAGCATGGTGGAGGGCGCCTGCCGGTAGCCGTTGCCGTAGGATGATGCAAGGGTGTCCCAGGAGAAGCTGGGCTTGTAGAAAGGGGGCGAGTCGGAGAGTGGCGAGTCCCCATCCTGGGTTCGGGACATCATGATGGGAGCCTCTGTGGAGATGGGACACATGCCCGGTGACTCACTTAAAAACAGTGTCCGCTCCCCTCCCACCCAGCACCCACCAGCCGCAGCAAGCTCGTGCGGGAGGGCTCCGGGTGCAGCTGTTCGTGATGGGAATGTCCGTGTCCTCACTGGCTCCACGGCCTTCCCAGTCCTCGCCCTCACTGCATGGGCCTGCCCAGCTGCCCCAGCGGGCTTCCCGTCCAGGAAGGTTCGAGCAGAAGCCAGGCAGCCCAGAGGGCATCCAGGCGACCTGGCTCATCCTTCATGACTCCAAGCCCCCCACCCCGGGGGCTTGCTGGGGTATGGCACCTGGTTCTGGGGCCACGCTGGTCAAGCCCCGGTCGGCGTCCAGCTCCGGCTCCCGTCTAAGGCTGGTCCAGTCCAGGCACTGGTTCGGGAACGATGTGCTGAGGACCGGGCCATTGCCCAGGACCTGATCCCTGGCCACTGAGGGGAGACAAGACCCTCGAGTCACCAGCTGCAGTTCTGGGGAGCTCTGCGGGAGCAAGAGGGCTCTCCCTTCCAGGAAGGACAGCGAGACCCACTGGCCACTGTTGGTGACATTCGAGGCTCTCCAGTCCTGACTCCACATCACCCCAGCAGTCAGGGAGGTGCGTTGTCTTCTATTCACTCACACCTTTACTCATTCAGTCAACCAACATCACCCTCTAACCGAGCTCCTGCTCCCGGGCGGGGGGGTGCTGCTTCAAGAGGGATGCCGCCGCACCCTGCGTGTGGGAGCCATGGGGCTGGCCGGGGCTCTGACTCACCAGGGGTGAAGACAGGAGGCCAGACCGGGTCCTCCCCTTGCACGCGGGGCTGGTGGTAGGTGTGAGCCTTCTTGCTCTTGACCAGGAAGGAGCGTGGCATTTTCAGTGTGCCCTGCTGACAAGGGGAGAGGGTGGAAGTGGTTGGGGGACACAGGACAGTCCTTCCCCCCAGAGACCAAGCACCCTCTGTACTGGGAGCAACGGCGTCCCCCAGGCTCTCGTCCTCTGGCCTGAGTGCAGCCTTGTTTTAGATGGCCTTTCACGGACATCAGTGAGTTCCGAAGAGGGCTTACTGGGTCAGAGCCCTAAATCCAGAACGACTGCTGTCCTTATGAGAAGAGGGAAACCTGGGGCCAGCAGTTAGTGTAATGGCTATGTCCCTGGACTCCCATGGTTCAAGTCCTGGACCTGGCTGCTTAAACTCACGCTGGGCACGTGTGTGTGCGTGCCCAAGATCTCGAGAGGAGAATGGAGGAGAAGGGATTGCGGTGTGGCCATCCCCCCAGGGGGTGATTTCTTGTTTTATGTCTCTCTGTCTCTCTCTGTCTTTCTGGCAAGCACATGCGCCCTATAGCAAAAACCTCTCCAAAAAAAGAAAAAAAGTAAAGAGGGAAACTTGAACAGAGAGACACAGAACACCACGTGACAACAGAGGCGGGCTCAAAATGACGCTTCTCTGAGCCGAGGAACACACGATGCTGGCAGCTGCCCGCTGGGAGTGAGACCTGGAACTCTCCCGCGGGTCTCCAGAAGGAAGACACCTTGATGAACCCCCGATGCGGACTTTCAGGCCCCAGGACCAGGACAGATGAACTTCTGTTGGAAGCCTCCCAGTCCGTGGTGCTCTGTCCCAGTTGCTGTAACCCCAGCCCCCACCCCGGGACGCGAGTCCACTCAGCCTCTAGGAAGTCCAGGGCCAGCCTACTCCCACTGAGACGTCTGCGTCACGTTGGCGCAGAGGAGGGGTGGGCAGCGTCCCTGTCATGCACTGTGGACCCACCTCTGGGAGCTGCGTTGTCCCTGTGGGATCTACCTCCAGAGGCCGTAGAGTGACTGAACTCGTGGGTTACGTCTGAGTTCACTTGCTGTGCAGTTTGGGGCAGACATTCAACCTCTCTGGCCTGTTCCCTTTACCACGTGGTGGACAACCAGGCTTGCCGTGCTGATAGGCGCATGGCACGTCCTCAGTGCCTGTGTCGGAGGCCTGGCAGAGGGGCCACCATAGCAGGGGACACTTCAGCACAAATCCCCGCTCTCCTGCACACTGGCAGCTGCTGCTCCCAGAACAGGCCGAGCCTTGTCCACAGCCCCAGCCCGGTGTGGCCCCCTAAGGGGATGAAGCCTTCTTTCAGGGAGGGCTCAAGGCCTGAGAGGACCCCACTCCACCACCCCCGGGAGTGTGCAGGGGACAGCCCCACCAGCATCTCCATGGGGCACAGTAAACCAAGAACGGGTCAAACAGGAGACCCGCCCTCGGCCCCAGGACGTGGGCACCCACAGAGCCGTCCCCTTGGCCAGGGCCCAGCTTCCCTGCAGAGCCCCCTGGAGCGGGGGGCATCCTTGGCCCCCAGAACCTTCATGTCCTGAGCCTGGCCTGTGAGGCCCCCCTGAGGGGGACAGGGAACGTCTCCCCAAGGTTCCCACCCTTCCACCCGCCCTGCTGTGGCCAGGCCGAGGTTCAGAAAACTCACTCTCATCCTCACCTCCACCCCCAGGCAGGGCTGCAGGGATGATAGGGCCCAGGAAGGCGGGAAACAGGCTTCTGTGGCTGAGGGCAGCCAGGAATTGGTGATAAGACC